TTGGGCCAAACTGTGCCAATCACTTAGTGATGGAGTCACACATAGGTAAGAAGAGGCCAAAAATGGAATGCATCTTATATGCCATAAAATAAGGTAAATTTTTTCTATATTTTATATCTAAACCATTGCATCCCTTATGAATGTTTATAATCTCTGACGTGACTTCAACGTATAAATACTGAATAAAATAATTTATATCAAATTCTTGTATATTTTCTCTCTCTTCTCAATTTTCAAAATGAAATATTTGTTACAACAAGCACCAACAATATTTATGTGAACAAGGTATTTTACAAAGAATATCTTTTTCATGCAAAGTTTTTGAGGTTAGGTTAGGTTCTTGTTTTATGATACAAGTAACTCATGGGTCATGCTGTACCAACCATAAGGTAAACATCTAAAAAAACATAAAAATAAAATTACGCCTGTAAAGGGAACTGTTAAGTTAATATATAAAATTGCAGTGTACAAGGAATTAATATGGTAAAATCATAAAAATAGCCAATAAGGTCAAAATAGAAACAAATAGAAAATAGTGTAAAAATATTAAAAGCTTCATAAAATCATTCAACAGAAACAAAACAATAAAATGCAAGCAACAAGGCAAACAGTTAAAACATAATTAAAATAATAAATCACAGAAGAGTAAAAGATCAAAGTTCTGAATACTACTGTCAAAAAATGCAAAAAGATGTGAAGGGTTAAAATCTTTGCCAATAAGAGCTAAAGGTTAAGATTAGACTGATTAAAATATCTCAAACATGATCTGGTAAAAATCTGATAAGCATATTTTAAGTGTGTAACAGTTAAAAGAGTGGCACAAAGGCTTTCAAAGGCTCAATTCCCAAAATTCTATAACTAGCTTCATCTTATGCAGTTTATTGCTAGTTTGGCTATCCCAAAACATTGCCATAAGTTGTACAGTTTAGCCTTTATGGTGGATTTTAAATCAGTGTAGGATATTGCATGAGGGAACTGGCATAGTGGAGCAGCTGACTTTGTTGCTAAATCAGCCAATTCATTTCCCCTTATGCCTATATATCCCTGAACCCAACAAAATCTGATTTGGTAGCATTGTGAAAATAGGTTGGTATAAAAGCTGCCAGACCTTTTGCACAAGACAGTGCTGAGAAAACTGCAGAGAGTTCAAAGCCTACATTGAACTGAGTGAGTCTGAAAATATTATACTGTGATGGTGTCCTTTGTTTACAGTATGTTTTAGTGTTACATGGATGACACAGTCTGGCAGAGAATACTGAGGCAGCCATTGGTAGTTGATCTGTCACCATGTCATTGCGCAGATCACAGAGGATCCAACATAACTGTGAAATTTAGATTCATCTGTATAATTAAAAACATAACTTCTATATTTATGACATACCTCTGTGAACTGTTGCAGGTGTGTATAGTCAGCAGTACTCAATTTTGAATTACTGTTGAGGCTGGTATTTGATACCAGCCTCAACTGGTACCAATGGTTTGGCTATCCACAGAGCTATAGGATTACACACCACTGGAAAAATAGCAATTATATCTAGCCTGATCTCAGTCAGTATAGATTGCATGTGCATACCAAATGCAGGAGTACAAGATGGATGAAAGTAGAATAATTTAGGGACATCTATGTTAAATATAATGCTCCTAGTGGGATGTTCCATCTGAGGTTTCAGTTTTACTCTATACAAAAGAGACAGCTGTTTCCTCCTTGTATGGAGTGGTGGCTCAAATGCTTCAACATACAATGCCTCGATACAGTCTGAACTCTTGGTGGTGTATTGGGACTAACAAGCAAAGTGCAGATTCTCTTATTTAGCTGTAGTTTATTGCCCCTACAGTCTAGTTTTGATCAAATCAATGATTGGTACATGCATAGTATCAAACAATGATCTGCACCCCAGGATAATTTTGATAATACCTTCAATATATTCAATGATTTCAAACACTTTGATCTTAGATAATGGATGTGTGGAATAAATGTTAACTTCTGATCAAATATGATGCCCAGAAATTTGGCCTCAGAGTAACAGAGTATTAAATTAGGGTCAAGGTAAAGTGGAGCTTGTGAAAATTTATCAGAATTGGGTGTATATTTTTTCTTATGGTCAAAATTTGTACTTTGTTCTAGCATAACCCATATAGTTCAAAGTTTTCTGATCTTGAAAAAATCAAGTGTCTATATGATGCAAGATTTGAGCTCTGGTTCAAAAATTTTTATATAGGAACCACAACCAGAAAGTTGCTAAATTGTTTTGAAGAACACCAAGCTGATATCTTAAATAATAAGCTTTCCACTGACCTCTCCAGAAATGTATTGAACCATAATTTTATGCCATTACAGTTGAAAGCTGCTCTGCTCAAAGAATATACGAATTGTAAAGTAATTTTTTTCTCTGGAAGTCTTTTTATATAACAACATTAAGTTCATGCAATAAGCCTATGCTTGAACTCCCTGAATTATGGCTGTTGCATCTCAAACCTTTAAATTTTAATTAAATTCTTTATGACAGCTGTTATATATATATATTGTAAAGCTCGGGATGAAAGTGCTAAAAGGATGTATAAATTAAACTGTGTACTCAAATGTACTGAAGAGGGACCTTTTTTAGAAAAGGACCGAAATGCATCTATAACAGTAGAATAAAGTGAAATCATTGGCTAAAGCTGTGTGATAGTCTACCGCCAATATTAAAATTCACATTTTAAGTGCGGATTTACAAAGACTTTACAATATATACTTTAAATTTTAGTTTATATATTTAATTCCTTTATATTTTTTATATTTCTTTAAAGTTTCCTTTTCATATTACTTTTGCTTGGATTCAAAAAAATAATTTTATAAATTTTGTTCAAAAATTGGCACAGAAATGAAAATTTCAATCTATTTAAAATCCATTAACACACATCCATTTAAAATTTTGTTCTCATTCTAAATACATTCAATTTTGCATGAAGATGCCATTTGTAAATGTTAAAAGTATTTGTGTTAAACTAAATTAACAATTAAAGACTGTGTATTCATTAATTGTCCAGCCATCATCTAAGATGAAAATACTAGTGAAACACATCTCTGTCCCAAAATGAAGACCAAAATAAAATCCATTCAGAATTTGTGAAAGGGGCCCTAAATGTTCCAAAGGGCACATATGTATACAGAGAATTATAAATGAAAATTTTGTGGACCAGAAGTAGACCCAGGCCATAGGTTAGCATTGTGGTTTTATACCATATTCCAAAAATTAGAAATAGAAACAAGTACTGTACACAACAGATGCTATGCATTTTTTATATCCACAAAAAATATGACAATGAAAAATTTTTCTTACTCATTATCATTGACCCTTCCCCCAATATATATACAGATTGACATTGATGATTGAGGTAAGTAATTACCACACATTGCAGCAAACACATCTCCAATCCTTCCTAGGGTGTTGAACCACCTTTTTATTTAGCCTATCCATTATCATTTGTTTTTTTATATCACACCGGTTATAGGTTCTAAGAGGGTAGTATGTTTTAGTATTTCTTTTTTTCTTTACTTATTTTTAAATTGTACCAGAGAAATGTCACACAGTTATGTTAATTTTTTATAGTAATATCACTTTAACATACATAAAGATTTTATTACTAGGTTTAATTCAAAGTGGTTCTAACTAAAGATAGAAGTATTCAAATACAAGAACTGAGAACTATTTGACTGTAAAGAGTTTCAGACAACAGTGAACAAGTCAATTTGAATATCAGGAACGAGGTTTCACAGTTTCACTCTACCATTGCAAATTCCAATCCATTTCAGTAATACAGACCAAGTTATTTTATAATCTAACTTCTCTAGGAATTTTAATACTCTAATTAGTTGTTAACACCAATCTCTGTAATTATCAACATGTTAATCAGTTTGTTCTCAAATACTTAATACTAGTTAGTTACTCCATATAATGCAAATTGGCAGCACTGTCATACCTTATTCTCACTTTTTTACAAATTACATACGCTAGTTGTTTGTTCTTAAGAACTTGATTCTCAGAAACACATTCCTATTCTTGTAAATTCTCTATTCTTAAAAGTATTCAATTCTGCTCTTGGTTAATTCCAACAGAGAGTAATATTAAGAAAGATCTTCTGTCATTATGTCTACTTTTCACAAGTCTTTTCTTTGACAAGGTTTGAAATTATTCTTGGAATACAGTTTGTGATGCTCTGAAATAACCATTATACTAATTCCTAGAAGTGATTTTACTTATTTGTCTACAAGTGCAATCTTAATTTTCCATATTATTCAGATTAAGTTACATTCTTTGTACCCAAAAACCTTTTCCGTTTCTGCATTAAACAGGTTTCTGATTTATAGTAAAATTAGAAATCCATTCGGAATAATATTTTTTGCACTTGACAGGTTTCCAGTTTATTCAAATTTTACTGTTGTATATCTCATGTTTTGAATTTCCTATTCAAAAATTTATAACACATTCAATTTTTTATATTGTTATTTTCTTTAACACTTTTGCTGCACAATTGAAAAAAGTTGCACTAAATAAGCCAATTTGTTTTTTCATAAAGTGTATCACTATTATACACAAATTAAGAAAGAAAGCTTTTTCATTTTGAGCACTCTTTATAGAATTATATGTGATGATTCAAATGAATAATTGGCACCTACGGAAGGCCAAAATGACGGAAAACCATTATAATTAATTAAATATGTCCTGGAAAAGTAAGAAACCAAGCAATAAAATATAAACTCTAAAATGTTTAATGCACTTCTGAGTAGTAATAAATGATGTAAAAAGAAAAAAATGCATATGCAATTTACCAAAGCATTCGAATAATGCAAATTTTCATCATACTGAAACAATGCCATGCAATTTTGTATTGTGTCAGTTGGCAACGGTGTAACCCAAAGATAACTTCTTGAACAGGTTGAAAACATTTCTTTTGCACATAAATTTTTCACTATTAAGATGTTATTTCTTTTATAAAGTATACTGATTAATGCCCCAAAAGAAGGGTCAGACATTGCATATAATAAAGTTCAATAATTTTGATATCTATAACCGAAACTTGTCAAAATTGTTTATATTAACTTCAGTTTAAAAACAATTTTTCTGTAAATACCTTGCGGGAGAGTCTTTAATTGCTTCGATGAAATTTGTTTCACGAGCAACTGAAAATAAAACAAAAAGGATTCATGCATATCTTTTAATAAAATAATAAATTTAATTAGTAACTATCATTAGTTAAAATTTAAATTTTTAACTTTTCTTAATTTCTTCTATTAACTTTTTATATTTCAAAATATAAAGTGAAACAACCAAAATTATACCAGTTGATTTGATAACACTACTCTGTTACCTATTATAAACTTTGATGTGGGACTAATGTGCAACTAATGCAAGTTATTGTCTAAAATCAGTAAATGATATCATTAAATTACTTGGATAATGTAATAAATAGACATAACAAGATAAGTAAGTGACAATATTAGTTTAAATTAATATCTTTCAGTTTCCAGCAAAAATGGTTTAACATAATAACAAACATTATTGGCCTAAAAAACTTACTTCTAGTATAAACCAAAACGATGCTTAATTCACTTTAATTTCTTCCACTCAGTGAAAGAAATTAAAGTGAATTAAGCACCATTTTGGTTTATACTAGAAGTAAGTTTTTTGAAGCTATGGTGTGTTTAGGATGTAAGATTGTTCATTATTGGCCTATTTAATAGGCCATCTGTTAAATAGGCTGAAAGCATTTGTTGTAATTCAGCACTTGAAACAACCTTTACATCTCCAGTGGTATGTGTTTACACCCTAGCAAACGTTTTTAACCTCATCGAGGTCTTCATCAGGCTACTTTAAATAGGAATTTGAACGCGTTTGGAACAGAACGTATACGATTCAAAATTTATATAAACAGAATTAAGAATACTCATGGAACGTTACGCACGCGCTAAAATGACCATAAAGCACGTGTAATAACAAGTTTGCATAACGGTATAAGCAGATGAATTATACAAACTCATTTATGGGGATGAGTTCCACTGGAGATGTAAAGGTTGTTTCAAGTGCTGAATTATAATTCCTCTAGTGTTGAAGATGTTTATTTCTTATATAACAAGCATTTGTTGTTGCATTAAACCATTTTTGCAGGGAATTGAAGGATGTTAAGTATATGATCTATAGTTCCAGCTAGTTATTTGGACTCTGCTAATGTTTTCATAATTATATACAAGGCCATCTGATACAATCAAATGATATCCTCAAATTAGATCTCATTTAGCCAAGTTCTAGCCAAAAAGTTATTTCTGAGAAATCATTTGATTGTTTCTTGTTTCTGCTTATGAAATTTTTGAAAACATTATTTAACCATACAATAGTTATAGATTTAAAAGATGATGGTAAAAATAGACTACATATAATTAAAATACTCAACTTCTAATTTTTAAATAAAATAATTAACACTTCAGTGTTGCTCAAGTTTCTCCTATGTGATGTAGATCTAGAGTTTGATGTTGAATTTATCTTTTTTTTTTTGTCAGCAGTAATCACCATGATTGTGATTGGTGCTCATGCATCATCTGCTTATATGAGTGACAATGGAGAAAGGCTAACATTATTTTGTGAACAACGGGTTATGAAACTCTGGAGTTGCTTCACTCTTCTTGAAGAGATGACAAATATAGAAAATCTCTGGGGAAACCTCAGAGACACTACCATGGAGTGCACCCAAATCATCATTAAAAGACAAAAAGATCAGCGGATCCAATATCGCTCATGGAAGTTGATTGATGAGAGGAAAGATGCAAAACTTAAAAGGGGCTAAAACAATGGCTGAGATGGAGGAACTAAGCCAAAGATACACAGAGTTGGATAGACATGTAAAGAAAGTCTGTCGGAAAGACAAGAAGGGATGGTTAGAATGAAAGGGTGCTGACGCACAGGAGGCTTCTGACTGGAATGACTCCAAGACCCTGTACCACATAGTCAATGAGCTGACTGGAATGAGGAGTAACTCCAGCATTTGAATAAAAGACAAAAACAGGAAGCTTCTTATCACTTAAGATGAGCAGAACAAGAGATGGATGGAACATTTAATCAAGTGGAACCAACCGTCATATACAATTTCGATATTGAGGATACACAGGTTGAGCTTCAGATGGACACTGGTGATATTACCCTTGAGGAAGTGTAGATTGTGATTAAGAGCCTAAAGAATAGTAGAGCAGCCAGTTTGGATGAAATTATGGCTGAGATTTTGAAGCCCATGCTAGAAAAACTAATGTTATTGTTTAACAGGTGATGGCAATGTGGGGAGGTCCCAGAGAATTGAAAAAGGAGCACTTTAATCAGAATTTCTAAGAGAGGAGATATCTCTGAATGTACTAACTGGCGAGGTATCACCCTTCTTTCTATGCCTGGAAAGGCATTTTGTGTGGTCCTCCTTTGATGCCTGTGGATTGCCCTCAATCAGTGTTTGCAAGAGCAAGCTGGGTTTTGCTGCAGAAGATCGTGCAGCGAGCAGATCTTCTCCCTTCAAAATATCATCAAACAATGTCTTGAGTATCGACACCCACTGGCCATCAATTTCATTGATTTCAAGAAGGCTTTTGACAGTGTTCACCACAAGTCCCTCTGGCGGATCCTGTGATTATATGGTTTATGATTATGAGGCATATTAATTTATTCAAATATTATTTCATTCACCATCTTCAAGGCCTTATATCTGCATTCGAGTTGTTGCATCAAGACTGAACGTGGTCATATGGACTTCTTTGAAATTACGACAGGAGTCAGGTAGGGTTGTGTCCTGTCCCCTTTCCTCTTCCTCATTGCCCTTGATTATGTCATGCAGCAGGCAGAAGAGTCCAGTGTGCACACTGGGGCAGAAGAGTCCAGTGTGCACACTGGGGCAGAAGAGTCAGTGTGCACATCTACTGGTTTGACCAGAACCGTCTTGGAGATTTGATTTTCACTGAAAATATTGTCTTATTAGAGGAAAGCAAGACAATGCTGCAGCATGCCATGGCTACATTGGGTCGGGAGGCACACAGAATTGGCCTCAGGATAAATGCCGTGAAGACAAAAATTATACGTGTGTGTAACTGCCCAAATGTGGGGAGTAATTGTCAGAGCACAACAATTGGAGAAGGTGGAGAGATTTACCTAATTAGGTAGTGTTATTTTTCAAAATGCCAACACAGAAATGGACGTGAAGTGCCGCATTGGAAAAGCAGCGACAGTCTTCTAACAGACGAACAAGATCTGATCCTCACCATCCATCTCACTGAGAATCAAATTCCGCCTGTTCACCTCCATCAAGATTCCAATAGCTATTTATGCTAGTGAGTCCTGGAAGACATCAGTATACATCAATAGAAGGCTCGATGTCTTCCAGCAGAGATGCCTACGATGAATCCTAAAGATCCAATATTTAGAACATATCACCAATTAAGAGGTTCTCCGAAGGAGTGGAATGTGCAAACTTCATAACATTGTTGCCTGTAGAAGAGTCCAATTAGCTAGCCACATTTTTCATATGGAGAACAATAGGATTCCTAAGACAGCCATGAAATGGGTCTCCCTGGTGCCAGATGACCACAGGGATGCCTCAGGAATACTTAACATAAAACTTCTTCAAGATTTGAAGATGCTCAATATGACTTGGGAGGAAGCTGAAGCTGGGCTGCAATTATCTTTCATCGAAATCGATGAAAGATAATTGCAGCCCAGTAATTGCTACCTAGCATTGGAGGAACTACTACTACTAATCATCATGCTTTTGATACAGATACAGTAAGTAGAAAACATTATTTTTACCTGAAATATGACTTTCTTCATATAAAAATTTCACATGAATGTAACATGACAAAAGTAATTACATGTATCTGTACATATAGAAAATTATTAAAAATTATATACAGTCGACCCCCCTATAACGTGCATTCCTATAACGTAGCGAAAAAATTGTAGCAGAATTCGTATAAAGGGACTCCTAAAACGTCGCCGCCGCCTCGTGACGCGACAAGATTGATAGAATCTGGACCAATAGTGGATGAGCAGCCCAACTACTTTCCGCCGTCCATGCGCGACGCTACGGAGAGATTAGGCGGCTAAATTGAGTTCGCTATCGTCTGCACAGTATTATATATAAATTAGTTACTGTACATATAATTATAACGTAGCGAAAAAATTGTAGAAACTTTCGTATAACGTCCCTCCTATAACGTCGTTTCGCGAGAAGATTGATAGAGTCTGGACCAATAGTGGATGAGCAGCCGAACTACTTTCCTCCGACCCTGCGCCACGCTACGGAGCGGCTAAATTGAGTTTGCTATCGTCTGTTTAGTATTATATATAAATTATATATAAATTAGGTACTGTACATATAATTATATATTAATTATATATAAATTAGGTACTGTATATATAATTATATATTAACTTAATTTATTGTAACTTTATTATAATTATATATATGCTTTCTGCCGCCTGGCAACACGCTACGGAGATTTTAGGCTAGTAAGTTGAGTTTATTATCGTCTGTACAGTATGTAAATTAGGTACCGTAAGTCTAATACAGCACTAATTTTATACATTTCTTGTGAAAGAAACATTTCTTATTCAACGGCCATAAAAATTATTTATATTAATGATGTCTCCAAACGTCAAGTTATTTTTCTGCGAAAAATTGGTTATTAGAAATTGCTGCCGCCGTTCGATGTGCTGTTCCGCGACGAAAACAAGCTTATGCAACGGCGTAGTCGAATGGCACACACTCGTTAAGTAATCCTACAATTTTTTGTTTATAGCGTAGTTTATACGGATTATTCCCAAAAAATTATACGTGTTTTGGAAATGTTGAGTCGAATTAGTCTAAAATCGGTTCATTTTATGGAAGAAAACCTTTCAAACAGCCGTAGTTCGTAAACTTCACACGTGTCGGGCTGTGATTGGCTCATGTATTTAAGGATTCCTACAACATAAAATTCTTATAGCGTGGAACGTATCTGCGCATTATAGGGGGGTCTACTGTACAACTATCTTCAGTATTTATGTTTAATCTCTATTATGAAATACATTAACCACAAAAAAACCTTTAATTACTAAAATATCTTCAGTTGTATCACACAGATCTTCCTCAAATAGAACAAAAACATATATAATGTATTTACATTGAGATCAAACAGAAAAGTAATTAAAATTTTTGTTGTAATTTATGATTTTTGTGTGGTATTTGTCAATGCAGCTTCCAGTTGTTCTCAGGGGCGTACCATGGGAGGGGGGCGGCAGGGGCGGTCCGCCCCGGGTGGCACTTTTTAGGGGGCAGCAAAATTACGTTTTAGGGGGCGGCAAAAATTCACAATAAGTAATAATAATATTTTGTAAGATTTTGAAACATCCTAATGTACACTTGCATCGCGCTGGACATCCGGACAGTCCGTGAATCGGCTCGCTGGGTGAACTAGTAACTTTTTCAGTCGAGGAGGTCTAGCAAATCTTGTTGCCCTTTTTGTTTTTTGCTTGCACCATTCGTTCGCGATCATATAAGTCGCTGCACTGCCACCTAGATTTTCATTGCTTTCCCTCAGACAACACTAAATTTGGTCTTGTAAATTGGAATACCTAAGTAAGGGGGGCAGCTGAGATTTTCCTCCGCCCCAGGCGGCTGACACCCACGGAACATCACTGGTTGTTCTATTATGAAATGGATATTGTTTATGCTTAGGTTCCATCCAAAGTTGTCCCAATTTAACAATGCAAATGCACATACATTCAAAACCCAAAACACTTGCAGTCTCAAGCATTTCAGATAAAGGAATCTCAACTTCTACCACACTTTCCTTACCTATAATTATTATTTTCTAAGAATGATGACAACACAGTACTGGATATATAGCAAACAAAAAACTACTCACAGTGTTACCCAAACTCCAGTTCTTGTAACGGTTTAATTGCTGGAGTTTGGGTCACACTATGAGTAGTTTTTTGTTTATTATTTTTTAATATTTTATAGCATAAATTTGTTTTCTTCACAAAATATATAAGCAAATGCCTGTTATACAAAAGTATGATCATTGAGAAATAATTATATATATAAAATTGGATTAAAAATTACTATTGTGTGTCACGGGCAATAAATAATTTAACAAATTAATATAATTATATAATTTATATATGTATATATAACGAAGTCTTTATTAATGCATATAAAAACAATAATCTTACCCATAGCAAGATGAATAGTAACATTGGCAAAGATAAAAACACACAATACTGCAAGAGACATAATAAACATGTAGAAATATCTATAATTTCTCTTTCCAACGCAATTTCCAACCCATGGACAATGGTGATCAAAACGTTCTAGAAAAAAAATTATCATTTTTATTTTACCTTAGAAAAATGTTAAATACAGTCGACCTCCCCCTATGACACTGTTGATAATTCTGTTTTATATGAATTCCATGCTGTACGAGTCACTTAGATTTTACAAACACGTGAGCTGTTCACAGCCCAGCACACGTATTTGTAAAATCTAAGTGACTCGTACAACATGGAATTCATATAAAACGGAATTATCAACAGTGTTATGGGGGGGTCGACTGTATTTCTACTATGTCATTCATTTCTGTTTCTAAACAAGAAAGGGTCATGGGTCACTAAATATTAATGATGTTTGATACAAATTATGAACGATATGATAAATAATTTGTTTTCATTATTCAAGAGTTAACTGTAGCGATTAAACTGTAATTTGAAAAAATAAACTGTAGACCTATAAATTCCCACTGTCAAAAATTTATCCGGGAAATGTGTTAGATAGACGACCGGCACAACACCTGTATACAAGGAAAAGTATGATGTACAGGGGCAAGGCACTACAGTAATAATTTGAGTATTAGAGCAAACATTTTAAATACTGTAATGTTTATTTTCTCAGCAGTTATATATAACAGAGGAAATGTATGGCGATCGGTCAAAAAAAAAAAAAATAACAATCTCACCTCCAATATTTATACATTTTTGGATTTAGGACACCTTAAAACGTCGAAAAAATTCGGAATATTTTCTGTTAGTGTTAGTGTGTGTGTAAGTGTGGGGCACGACTTTGTTCACCTTGTTTGAAGTTTAATAACTTCTGTGCTTTTTATCGAAAATTTTTGATATTTTGCAGGGAGGTTTTGTATTAGGGGGTTGATGCTGTTTAATTTTCTTGTTTAAAGGTGAACGGGTTGGGGAAATAAACGGAGATATCGTGTGTCGTATCTCGAATAGAGTCGGAATGAATTACGATTTTCCTCCTTATTATTAGCATTTACAAATTTTTCTTATTAAAAACACACCACCAGCCTCAAAATTAAGCTTTTGGCCATTTTATAATAATTAATTAA